GTGTCCATATCTTCAAAAAATATAACTGAATTTTTTGAGGTCACCTCTGATTCTTTTATATATTAGAGTCAAGATTAGCCTATCTTCATGATAAGCTTTCTCTAGATAGACATGATACAATCTGCTGATCCTTTTTTCCTCAAAGACTAATAACCTGGCACTACTTAAACATGCAATCAAAACTTTGAGATCTTCAAATTTGTCTCGACAAGTGTTAGCACCCAATATCACTATTTTGTTTATAGTATATAGCACCATATGGAGTCCAAATGATTCTCATATAATTAGCAAACCAAGATTGTTTAACATGAAACTTTCAGCTTGATCGATGAAATTTTTATTCTATTTTTTCCTATTTTGATGTTCTACTAAATAGACATCCTCATGATCTGTCGGATTCAAGATAATAAAGGATCTGACGCATCAGATTTCGACTGATTCATTACATAGTCAAAAATTATAAATTTAAATGAAAGTTATTCCATTTTGTAAAGTACATTTTTTCACATAAGTAACCAAGTTTTGATTGAGATTTAATGATTCAATGAATAGCACTCAAAATAACTTTCTTTTAATTTGAGATATTTTTGGTTAATCTTTTATGTCAGATTTTTTCTAACGATATTTCATCACCAGTACATGATAGAATATTGAAAATTTAACTGGATATAGATTGTGAGATAGGAAATATAACCAACATATTGGATAATGTCTACTTTGGCTACTGAGTATCAACGATGCTGTCCATGTCTCAGAAAATATATCACAGTAACCTGGCTATTCTGCTCGTTTGAAACAGATGCAATGACTGTGTTTTTTGTCTGTTCAATCAATGAATTCATCAATGCACTGTATACTGATCACTCCTAGCATAGTTTACGACCTTCGCGTATCTTTAAATATGAATTAGCATAAAATGTGAAAAATGAAAAGAAATCAGATTCAAAGGCATATTTATTGTGCAATATATGTTTTTCAAAAATACAGGGAACTTTATTATGAAAGTAACATCAATAGAATAAAATAAAAAAGTCACGTTATAACAAATTTATACAAGACTAACTATCAATGACACAATGCTTTCAGTTACATTTTGTATGCAAATAATAAGTACGTCTTCTTTGCCTTTAGAAATAGTATTAATATACTCATTATGAATAGTTTGAGAGACAAAGCTGCTTTCTGGCATATGTGAAGTATCAGGATCTGTCTCAGATATTCACAATCAAGGTCTCCATTATCATGTCTGATTCATTTATTTTTTTTTTGAAAAGAAAAATAAACTAGCTATTTAATTCAAATTCACAAAGTAAGCATATTGAATTTGCTTATAAAATACATCAGCATTTGTTCAATGTTTACATTGTCATGATTTACAGTACTGAACACTTTCTTAAAAACAAGACAGGTTAGATGAGATTCTAATGTCGGACTTTCATTTTGATTACTATGGTTTGGTATCTAGATAACTGCTGTATGTTACTGAACGCTCAACTACATTGCTGACTTTCAAAGAATACACCAGATATGTACTGAAAGGTATGAGTGTGGTTACATTTTGTCTCAACCCATATCCCCATCCACAACGACACACCTCCATCCACTCAATCATTCTCACAATCAACTTTGAAAGATGTGATTTCTGTTGATTTGTCAATTGATCATACGACATAAAAAAATTCGTCAAGGTAAATATTATTTCCTTTACACAAATCATTTTAAAACAAAACATGATTTGAAAAAACGGAAAAAGCCCAAGATTGATTACATAAATCGTTCTGTATCTTCTCTGAATACAACGTTATCGTAAAACTCTAAATATTGTTCAGAAATACAGTACTAACAGAAATGCATATCTTTCTGTAATGCTGAAGTTACCACTTGACGTATAATTAATCAACTTTTTGGTCGAAAAGTTAACTAAGTTTTATCAATCAACTATAGTTATCGCTATTAATTATTTCAACTGAATCAATTTCTTAAAGTTTTGATCAGGTTTGATTAATTCAAAATGATAATCAATTTAATTCTGTTCAGTTTTCTCTTTAGTTTTATTTCATATTCTATCTGTTACTTTAACATAATTTACAGATACAATCAACATGTATATTTGCAGAATCTCTGATTTCATAATGCCTTACACTTACCTTCTGTCACTAATTCTTTTTCTTCTATTTTTCTTTTTTATAATCAGAATATATTGTTTAAATAAAGATTTGTTGCTCAACTGCAAAAGAAAAAGAGTGAAAAACAAAAAGCTACGAACAAGGCATTTTATTTTCAAGGCTAACTGAATGATGTTGACATGTTGATTCTTTCTTTTCTACCAAAGTGAGCAAACAATTATTCTACTGAATTAGTTCCCCTTGTGAAATGTAAACATTACCAGAGTATATAAAATGCACGTTTCTCCTTTCGGAGCAATTTTTAAATGTGTGACCCACTTTTGCATATTATTCTTTCTTTGCTTGTAACATTTTTATTATGATCGAATTGTCATACTCGTTAAGGTCTTTTTACAGAGAAAAGCGTAAGTATACAGAGACTGTCATCGAATTTTCTATACGATCTAAAACGTCCAGCAGTGAATTCGATACACAAAGATCGTAAAATCATATAAAGTCACAAAAAGGTAAACTTCTCTGTCGATTTTACGAAGTTATATGGTTATCCTATATGATTGGAAGCGATCATATACGAACTCTACAATCCATGACCTAGGTGATCATGCTGTTTTTTGTCAGATCCATTTAAAAACTTTTTGAAAAAAAAAATTTCAATTTTTTCTAATATTCTCGTTTTTCTGCTCTTTTTCAACTTTTTTTTTGCACATCATGCTCAATCAACAAATGATTGAACCTACCACTTTGCACTCATCTAAGAAATCCCTTCACGTGTAATGACAATTATTACTTATTAATGTTTAATTGTGATGCTAGTTATGACATGGAAAATAAGATACAGTTTTTCATAGATTGGCCGAAAATGATATCAGATTTTTCGATGGATCAGAACAAAAATGTGTTTAAGGTATAGATGTATTGGCATGGTGAAATACATTCAGTCCAAGACTTCCAATTCTTATCTCTCAGCAATTGACACTTAAAAAGATTTATGTAGAATAGTATGTAAACAGAAAAATTCTAGGTAGAGTTTTGCACCGTTTCAATTTTTAACGTTACCTAAATCTATCAGAACAATAGAAATGGACAATTTCAGTTCCGAGTAAACATTTCTCCAATGAGGTTAGAATGAAGGTCAATGTGACTTAGACAGAGTTCGAGTGAGATTTAAATTGACATAGTCTTATGAACTTCGATTCAATTCTTACTGACTTAGTTATTTGTCGCTTGCAAATGAGATAACACAGTGAAATATCGATTGCTCGTGCAGATGTAAAAGATTTCATGTTTAAAAACAATGGCACATAGTCGAAATTTCTCATTATTGTAGACGAGTTTTGTGCCTTAACCCAAGAGAAAACAAACTGATTTCTGTAATTTCTCTCACTGGAAATCCATTATTGTTTATTCACCACAGATCAATAGAAATTATTGGAAATCAAGGATATCAATAAAAATCAGATCTTGTGTTTTGAGAGTTTTCGTATCCATAACGTGTCATAATGATTTCTAGCAATAGAAATCAATTTGCTCCCCGTTGTTCTAATCCAACACCACTCAGTTAGATGTACTGATGTTCACCGGGAACACTAATATTCGAGAAAATTTCAGCAACTAGAAGGTTACAGACAGCTTAAATTTAGGCCGAGAGTATTATCATAGAACTGATAATTTCTCTAGCAGCTTCTAAGTGTTTCAAAAATTTTAAGCGTTTCATATGAAGTGCTGTCCTTAAGCGGTAAACAGCTTCTGAAGCCAAATGCTCTTAATTAATAAGGAACTTATGAAACATAACAATGTGTAATATTCTTTTTTAAGTTATTATTATTGAACAAGTGTGTTCTGCGCTTTAATCTTTTTAGATATTATATCTGTTTTTTGAAATGATTTCACCTGCTTTCATCATTGGTGGTAGTGCTCTATTAACATTAACAACGGTTATTATCTCAAAAGGTCTAAAAAAGCTTGATAAAATTCGATGCGGTGCCAAAAACGTTGCGAAGATTGCTGAAGATACAGTGAATAATGTTCAATATGATGCATCTACTATTTTTACGCTATTTGCTCTTGCGGTCAATCATATTGCACATAATGTCACAAAGAACTTCGACGACTTGATCCATGATTGTCTTGAATGTCTTACAATGTTCTCTCGCTATATTGATATCAATATTCAGTTGTTGATAAATGCTGTTATAGCTTTCGTTACAAGCTGTTCACTTGGTTTTCTATTATACTTAACTGATTTTTCACCTTCATGTTGCAAGATGGTTTGGTTGATATTCCTCTTTCTTAGTATCTATATGGTCGTTAACTATGTCTTACCTGCACACTGCATAGAATGGCTGCAACAGTATGTGCTTTCAGCAGATTCAACAATAAATATAAAGGAAACAATTAAAGGTGAGAAAAACACATTTGATTTGTTTCTTTTCGAGAATAGAATACTGTTTTTATAGTGAGTTTTTGATGTCAAAATTCAGAGAAAAGACCTGTGAAGAGAAATTATTTCAAACTTTAATCGAATTTATTAATTTCTGAGCTATTTTTTAAATAAAAACTCCTACCACTATGACTGACAGAAACAGTTCTTGTCGCACTCATCATATTTCTTTTATCGATTCGATGATAAATGAGATCATATACGACGTTTTCTGACAGTCGTCACTTTTCGCTCTCAGTAATTTGACCAGTTAAGTTCGTAGTAATTTTGCGATCGGTAGATACGAAAGAGAGTTTTTGTTTTATTTTTCATTCATATCGATCTTTCAAGTCATTATTAATATACGTATTTGCATTTTCAAAAGTTTAAAAGAAAAACAGTTAAACGTTTCGATGATATGAAAAAAAAAGGATTTTTTTTATCTAGAAAAAACAATGACCTTGGATGTGGTTAAACCTTTAATCAGAAAACAGTTAGTTTCGAAAAAGCTATTATATAAACCATGTGCTGTCGTTATTGGAAGAAGTGGAGCTGGAAAAACGACGTTAATTAATGCTATTTGTCGAACGCAACACGAATTGAGTACAAGAAAAGGAAGTATCTCACGAAATCTTTATCGTAATGATGTTGGTTGTGGTAGAAATATGTTTTCTTTAATTGATATGCCTGAAATTGATAGTTCACCTGTAACATATAAACATACGTTTTTGTTAAGAGAAGCATTATCAGCAACAAAAATCAATACAATTTTTATTGTTATTAAATATGATAGTCGATTTGGTAAAATGATAGAAAATTATTTTGAACTCGAACAATTAGTCTATAATTATGGTAGGAAAATTATTGTGATCATCTCTCATTGGGATCAATCTAAAAATCCACAAAAGAATTATAAAGCAATTTGTAACTTATTTGAAGATGAATGTCCGAATGTAACAAATTTAATTTTTTATTCCGAACAAAATTATGACACAGAAGTAGCAAATTTAATGTACAGCTGCATATCCAATATGAAAGAAGAAAGATTAAATATAAATGATGAAAAATTCTTTTTTAAATCTAATATATATCAAATGAAAAGTCAAACGAAAATCTTATTCCAACAATATCAAAGAAAAGCAAATTTGCTTGAACAAGAATATACACAATTGATTAATTCTATTAAGTCTTCATTTGTTGAAGATAAAGATGAAGCTTTACATTTGAATATAGTTCAATTCAAAATCGATATGGAAGTATTATTACAAGAATTTCAACAACAACATGGTAATGCAATGAAAGAATTAGATTATTATGTATTTAATATTAAAATGGAGAAGGAAAATGTTAGAATTTATGATGAATTTCTTGAAAAAGTTGTACCATTAATGTCTTATAATTTATTTGATAATCAAGATCCTCGAAATTTAATCAAAAGATGTCCAAATTGTAAGTTGATTTGGTTCAAAACGGAAGGTTGTGATGGAGTCACAACATGCGGCAATAAAATCTTTACCAATCATCAAGATGTGAAGAGCAAAGCTTTTTGGAAATATAATTTGCAACGAATCAATGGAAAACTTCAATTGGTCAAAAACAATATGGAAATAAAGACGCTGTTAAAAGCAATGCATATCAATTCAAATTCGAACCGGATAGGTTGTGGAATCGAGTTTAAATGGAGTGAACTTCCAAAAATAGAAGATCATTTAATTCTTCAGTTATTCACAGTAGAAACAATTGACCAAGCCAAACAATTAATTCACGCTGGTAGTTACAGAGAACCTTGACTAAATGATGAATATGCTAGTAACTCCACTCTTGCTTTCAAAATATTTCATTATTTTCCTTATATTAAATGCACAAGATTATGTATATATACATATGGAAATTAGAGCAGCTCATGAGAGTGGGTATGGGTGTGTGGGTGTGTGGGTGTGAGTGTGTGGGTGTGTGGGTGTGAGTGTGAGTGTGAATGTAGACATGCGTGAAGAGAAGACCAACACCCACACCCATTTTTTCTATATGGATAAAAACTGTTAATTTGAATTAGAATTAGAATTGAGGTCGAAGAAAGGTTTTTCTTTTCTTTTGATCCAGAATAAAGCCCAAGACAATTGAAATTATACGCTTTGTTTTTTTTTATTATACACTATTTATCTCTTAATGTACTATGTGTAGGGTATATAATGGAGTATTTAATATCAATCTGAATTTAGAACAAAAAAATGCACTCGATTTCAAATTGAAATGGGGGTATAGAGACGGGTCTTTAAAATTATTCAAATGAATAATTCTAAAGATCCCTTATACCCGCTATTACCTCTACCTCAAAAAAGCAGGTATACACCTATCTATTCATATGAATCATTCTACAGATTCCCGATACCCTCCTTTCGATTTGAAATCGAGCGTTTTTTGTTTGTGTTCTAAATTCAGATTGAAATTAAATACTTCATCGTATGCCAAGTTTGTATAATTGATTTATTGCATGTCAGGTTGCTCTCAACCTCTCGAAGTTTTCGTCTCAAAAAGCGTTGATGTGCCAGGAGCTTATTGTGTTTTGATGTGTTCACAGGAGTATTTCTCAAGTATCCTTCATACCTAGCCAATCAATACTTGAGCCTATATTATATTATCATTAATTCAATCGAATTAAGGTCTGTTTGTTCATTGTCTTATGTCGAAAAGCAACCATCATGTATTGACTTCGTTTGAGGATCTTGCTTCACTCGCTCGACTACATAAACAACTTACGTATTGCTTCGAGAATCAAGTAATTCTGCTTTATCAACAGGCTGAAACTTCATTTCGTATGGTTTGATATTATCAGCATCGTCTGAGATGTTTGCTAAATCATCATTCGAAAAACTAGGCATATTTGGTTGTCGTATCACTGACATTAAAGATGGATGCCGGATCGTGTTGCGATTTCAGGAGAGACATCATACTCTCTATGTCGGTCTTTAATGCTTTACAAATTTGCGTTCAATATTTCTGTTTAAATTTATATTGCGAGTCTGTATCTTGAAGATTTTCTCGACTCCTTAGAGTTTTACCTATTGGATAAAAAAAACAGAAGTAGTAAGTCACACGTTGCTCGTTGATTTACCTCTCGAATTGTTGAAAATAATGACGTCATAAAACGATATATTATGGTCGACGCTTGGTTAATTGCAAATAAAAATGATTTTTATCTTTTTTTTCTTCTGGTGATGATTGACTAATGGAATCCATATATGCAGTGTCCACATTAATTTTTCTTCATTTCAAAAGGAAGAAGAAAAAAGGTTAGTATGAATGAGAGTGTGTCTGGATGGGAGAGGAAGGAATAGTGTATGTTAGAGGGTGGATGTGGATGTGTGTGGGAGTGGGTATGGGTGTGGGTGTGTGGGTGTGGGGTATGTGGGTGTGAATGTGTGAGTGTGGGTGTGAGTGTAAGTGGGTGTGGGTGGGGGTGGGGGTGGGTGTGGGGTGTGGGTGTGAGTGGGTGTCGGTGTGGGTGGGTGTGGGTGTGGTGTCGGGTGTGGGTGTGGGTGAGTGTGTGAGTGTGTGAGTGTTGGATGTACAGAGATGATCCATATTCACACCTATACCCGCCCCATCACCTACGGCCACACCCCACACCCACACCCACACCTACACCCACACCCACCCTTCTGTGAAAATCTTTTCTCTCACGACGATAGTTTAATATTTTCAGATAGTATCAACAATTAATTTAATACCAAACAGAAATCGAATTGAAAATTAACTCCCTCAGGAAAATCGATCATTTGTCAGATGATAGGAGGATATTGAAAACTAATTGAATCCATTAATCTACTTTCTTTTTAAGATGACTAGTTATGCTGCTTAACAAAAATTGTACAGACTTCGCTGATTTTGTCATCGTGAAGAAAACCCCGTTGGTCGCCTCACGTCAAAGTATCATTTATTGATTTGTTACAGTTTATATTGTTAGATTGAAATTTCCATAATTAAATAAATATGAATAAATCTTATTTTGCAAACATAATTTATTCTTCATTTATTTTCACATGATGTACTCCGTCTCAAGGTTACATGTCTCTATAATAAAACTTCATCTATAATGAAACACAAATATTCGATATTCATGCTCACTGGTATTGGATGAAAGACAACAACGCTATGATTTCTCTCTTCGAAAGGTGAATGAAAGATTGAAGAGTAATACAGGTAAGGGTCTTTGATTGGTGCTTAAGAATGGCATGAAACTATACAAACAGAATATTCTCTCATTGATGATGATTAATATGTATTTTATACTTTTTTCATGATTTGATAAGCATAACCTGTGACTAACTCTCGATTCAATTTGTGTAAAATGATTAAAAGAGTAACTTGTTAATTTTGAAAATAACAGATGAAAACATTTCTCATGGACAGTGTAAAGCACTATTAAAAATAAAACGAATGAGTATAGAACTGTAACGAAGAGATTTTTTGATTTACAATTAAAATGAAAAAAACCTCTTCATTCCGGTTCTATATTCTTTCGTTGTATATTTTATTCTAATTGTAGTATCACATAATTACGATTAAGAGTGTCGTCGATGAATCGATCTGATAAGTTCAAATTAATTCGTAACATTCCACTGCGACAATTACCAGAAAATCGATCTGGTATTACTTTGGTTTGGCTTGAAAATTTATTGTGTTTGTCAGGCAATGACAATCAGATTCGATTGCATAGTTTTAGCAATCGATGTTTTATTGTTTATTATTTAAGTACATCAAAACTTGTTAAATATTTGAAGCGAGCTCGATCACGTGAATATGTCATAGCTATTATTGTGTCTTATCCAATGGAAACAATTCAACGCATTATTCATCGACTTCAACAACATCGTGTTATTCAAGCAATGTTTGTTGTTTATTCCGATAAAGATACAGACAACCATCTGTTGTCAATAACCGATAATCTTCATATCTTTCAAACTCAAGAATTAATGTTTGAAGTTTTAGAAAAGCGAATTGAAGAAATTGAGAAACTAAATTTGAATGGTGGTTTATTTACAACGTTCTATCGAAAAGAAAAGTCTCTGAAAAATGTTCGAGAAGATTTGGCAACATTTGTTTGGACTCATGTATTTAAAGGTTAGTGCTTCGAAAGTATTCATCAAAAATCATTTATGTCATATATTTAGTTGTATTGATGAGTATGCCTTATAACTCTCTTGAAGCCAAAGGTGAGATGTTAAGTGAATGCCGAGCTTATTATCGTAATGATGTTGTTCAATTAGCTCATATTGATGAATTTGAACGCACATATCAATCAAAAGATGCTATTCGTTGGTATACAAAACTTGGATTCTTGTTTTATCTTGTTAATAAAGCTTTACGCAGTCAAGATATTTGGGTTATATATAAATTTCGTTATTTTATTGTTGATTTATGCTGTTATTTGGAAGAAATTTCCATTTCACAGTCTTTTTCATCGGTTCGTCTTTATCGTGGAGCAAAGCTTAATCGAGACGAACTCGATCAACTGCAAGTTGGTTGTCTTATATCAACTAATGGATTTTTTTCATGTTCATCAGATCGTAATGTAGCAGAAATGTTTATTAGTATTGATCTCATGACTGATAGATCGTCAAGTCACAATCCAGACGCATGGCAACAGTTCGTTTTATTTATCATTGATGTCGATCGTAGAATATCTACGAATACAGTTGTAGCAGATGTCAGTCATGAAAGTGATTTACCAGATGAAAACGAAATGGTTTTTAACTTCGGATCAACTTTCATTATCAATGAAATTAGTTTTGATAACGATAAGTGCATATGGTTGATTCAAATGAGTTCATCTTCGAACAATATTCGAATAAATGATGAATACGAGAAATATATTCGTATACGTCTTCAACACACCAATCCGGCTATACTGTTCGGTCATGCTTTAGCTAATATATGCAGTGATTATGCTCAATCAATGATTTATTTCCATCGTTTACTAAGAACATTACCTATAGATGATGTCGAACGACCCAATATTTATTATAATTTAGGACGTATTTATCAATTTATTGAGAAATTCGAAAAATCTCTTGATTGTTTTCGATGTGCTCGATTACTCATTTGTCGTCTGTTACCGGAGAGAATGTTTGATTATTGTCGTATTCTAGGTGGAATGGGTACTGTGTACTTATATTTGGGAGATTCGGAACGAGCATTAAAATTACTCAGACAAGCTTTAGCACTTCACAAGAAATCATTCCCAGAAAATCATACAGAAATTCCATTTCACCTGAATCGTCTGGGTTACGGTTATTTCAAAGCCAAACAATATGATCATGCACTTTTGATTCTCAATAGTGCTGAGAATTTTTTCCAGACAAAAATGCCTGTGGATCATCAAGGATACGCCGAGACTTTGCATTCAATGGGTTTAGTTTATCATGGTATTGGTGATGATAAAAAAGCATTGATTTGCTTTCAAGAAGCATTACGCCAACGACATTCATTACTTGGTAAAGATCATCCTTATCTTGCATCTACTTATTATCAACTTAGTCTCATACATAATGATCGTGTTGAATATGAAATAGCACTTGATTATGTTCAAAAATCTCTAAATATCCAATTAATAAAATTACCACACTCCCATTCCCAACTAAAACTATCAAAAGAACTTCTTCGACGCCTTCAGCAGCACCAATAAAAAATCTCGAATTAGTTTTCTATCATTAAGATTATAGTTAATGTTTATCTATGAATTGAAAGAGATTTCATCGTACTTAATGATGATTCTCATTTGAATTAAATC